TGCAGCTCCTGCTCGAGCACGTGAGGAACAGGCTGTTTTGGGCCTGTTCCGCATCCCTGTTTCCGTGCCTGAGTCTTAGGGGCAGGTCGAAACAATGAGGGCCTGAAAATGGCCCTCCGTTTCAGGCTGAAAACTCTGGGTCTGAAAAGACCCAGAAATAGGCTGAAACGAGGTAGGGCCTGCAGGCCCTCGTTTTTCAGCATCCAAGCTGAAACGAACGGGGCCTGTAAGCCCTAAGTTTTAGGCTTTTAGGCTGAATGTCCGGGAAGGGCCCTGCAGGGCCCGTGTGGCTACGCAGTATGCCACATCAGACCAGAACCAGCCCAGATCAGACGAGAACCAGCCCAAATCAGACCAGATTCAACCCAGATCAGACCGGAATCGGACCGGGCCAGACCAGAACCAGCCCAGATCAGACCAGAACCATCCCAGATCAGACGAGAACCAGCCCAAATCAGACCAGATTAAACCCAGATCAGACCAGAATCGGACCGGGCCAGACCAGAACCAGCCCAGATCAGACCAGAATCGGACCGGGTCAGACCAGATCAGACAAGATCAGACTGGATCGGACCAGACCGAGCAGAATCAGACAAGATCAGACCAGAATCAGCCCAGCCCAGACCAGAATCAGCCCAGACCAGGCCAGACCAGATCAGACAAGACCAGAATCGGACCGGGCCAGACTGGATCAGACAAGATCAGACCGGATCGGACCAGACCGGGAAGAATCAGACAAGATCAGACCGGATCGGACCAGACTGGGCAGAATCAGACAAGATCAGACCAGAACCAGACCAGATCGGGCCAGACCAAAACGGGCCGCATCATATCGGATCAGATCGAACTGAGACCGAAGATAGGACCTAGTACGCTCCAAAGAGACCAAGGTGTCGCCATCCCTACGTTCGGGCAGTTCAGAGCCCGGCTCAGGTCGAAAATAGGGACTCGATCAGCGACACAAACCGACTGAAGTCCACAAATCATCGACTGGGAAGGGGAAGTGCCGGGCCTATTCAATACTAGAGTTATTTTTACACAAGTGTCAGGCCGCTCACACTCGTGCCGGGCCTATTTACAGTATCAAGCCGGGCCTATTTACTGTATCAAGCCGTTTCACGGCGAAGCCGCGTTTCGTTGAACTCTAACTATGGACAAGACCCAGGGGCTGGTCGCATCGCGAACTATATTACAATTCTGAACTAAATAAGGATGCACGCTTTCTTCGTGTCTACGAATTGTTTCGTCATCAACGGTTGCCTGCCTTGTTTGCGGCGCTAGCATGTTTTCGGTGATACTGACGAGGTTGTTTTCTTGCAGGTTACAGGACCTCCAAACGACCCTCCCGCGGGTGACAGACACGGGGCGGATTAAAGGGTTCGTTTGGTGTGCCGGCAGATCACTTCTACCGGTCAACGACGTCAGTATCTGACAGGTCAGGTCATCTGTTTGAGTCTTCCTCTGCGCTACATTGTGCTATTTTTGTATGTAAATGGATGTACATTGCTTGTCAATGCTTCGCTGATGTTGAATTGTCCATTACATCGCTCAACTTACATCAAGCATGTATCACGACTGCAGACTGACGAATGCCACTTTTTAAAATCAGTGACCACCACATCATCTGCAAAAAACGTTCACCACTACCGCCTTCCGCTGTATAGAATGTACTGTCATTATGCCTGCCTGTATTTGGGGCACCTTCTGGGGAAGACAGTAGAATGACTACCAAGTCCTGCCCTTGTATCTGCAGAAACACAGTTCACCACTCCGATGAATAGCAAGTCATGTGCTTGCATTTCTTCGCTGCGAACCTGGCAAGACTACATGATACCTATCGACAGGTTATGCAACATGTCATCAATCTAAATCCCAGCACACCAATTCCAACTGAGAGCTAAGATCCCAAGAACAAATAAACAGTTCAAAAATCAGCAACACAAAAATACTACCATTCTTCGCCGCTTTTTCTTTCTCGCTAGCTGTTCGCAGTATCAAGTACCGTGCTCCTTCCCTCCCTCCCTCCCTCCCTCCCTCCCTCCCTCCCTCCCTCTCTCTCTCTCTCTCTCTCTCTCTCTCTCTCTCTCTCTC